GTAACTGTAACGGAATACAGTTACTCATATTTTGTATTTTAAATACGTAACGGCGGTACATGTATTCCGTTACTCCCCAACACTGTGCAGTACGCGTAGTTGTATGAATTTTTGTTTTGGTGATATTCTTTATTAAAAGGTCCACTAATTAATAACGTATAGCAAAAACACTCTGACAAGAAATGTTTTGTTAATTTTATTCATTTATTTTTTTATTTTTTGAGGTTTTTACTGATGGGGTATTGTCGTTACTCCACCACACGAGCGGACAGGTTGGTGGTGTGGAGATCAAAGTTTGCGAAAACAATAACTCAACAAAAGGTGATGTAGGATTTTGAAATTCCTACCATAGATCCGTCTACTAAAAATCTCAGACAGGTTTGAATCTCAGTGACGTCAAGGTCAGAGGTTGCATTTTCCAAAAATCGTGTTTGAAGGAAGTCACGTAGGATTTTCAGATTTACACCACACATGTATCGGCTAGAAGTCCGACTGGCGGCTCTACGTTTGTTCTTTGTTTAGTTGAGTTTTTTGGTTTGGAGACTGTAACCTACAAAGGCTACAATAGTTTGTTTAAACAGCACAAGAGTTTTATTTAAAACATCTCAACCCAACCTAATTTCCCACCAGTACAGAGTGATGTTGCTACAAATCTGCTCCTAAAAGCTTGAGTAGCTATTTCACTAAAGTTGTTAATGATTTGTGAACAACGCGTCTATTAGTCAGTAACTGTAATTTACATTTTTTACATTTTTCCTTGTGATATTAGCGATGATAGTGATAGCATTTTGATGTTTATACAAAGAGTGTCAAAGACATTTCAACCTCACGGCACACAGCAGTGCGTTTAGACTGGAGAGCTTAATAATCCATCAGATCTCTCAGGCTGCAACGCTGCTGAATTTCATTCAGTTCAAATCAAACATTAAATAGATTTCTTTGCTGTGCTGCTTAGTCCGTTTCAATATCTCGAGTAACACGTTTTTGATTTTAGCATGTGGTATCAAAGTCACCCTCTCTCTCTTGGAATACATTTTTTTTTTCAGTCTAGGATGAAGTCTTACTGGTATCACAGAAGCATCCATTCATCTGCCAGCCAGTAGTAATGATAGCAGAAGTCCTGAGGCAAAAAGTGTTTTGGCTGTGTCTGCGTTTCATATCAGAACCCAAGTAGGGCAACAGCATGACAGGCTGGCATTAACATAAAACAGTCCAGTCAGTAGAGATCCCTGCTGTCCAAGTCTGACGGGGCTCAAGGTTGACAACAAAGATTTACATACTGACAGCCTTTTCTACATATCTCACAGTGGCTTCCCTCCATTATCTTTTCCTCAGCCAAAAAAAAGTGGTCCATCAGCTCGTAGCTCAGATCTGATGGGTCGTTTCACGCTGTCTGTAATGCTGGCAATAAGCTTTGTCTTATGGTGATGTCCCCATGCTGGGCTGATGGTTTATTTATCTGACGTCGGACTCCTACCATCTGTTACAGAGACCTTGTCGCCTCAGTCCCGTATGATCCTTCAATTATCGGCTCAGCGCCTCGTTACTGAGGACAAAAGCAGCTCACCCTCTGCTGATCCACTTTGTCGTCACCTTAGTTGTTCAGTGCACCTTTGTTTTTTAATGAGACGACATTAACAAGGGCAGGAGTAACATGCATTTAACGTGTTTACTCACAGATGAGTCCATTTAAAGATGATCAGTTTGAGGGTTTGGACATTCAATATGTAGATATTTTTACTTTAGCAGGTCAATTGATTATTGTGTAGGGTCTGAAAGTGAATACTAGAGCCCATTTTCCTGCCATTTGAACTCTATTTGCTTTGTTAAAATGTAGATATTTATTCAGTTGTATCTTTTTAGTGTACGCTGTTTTGTGCAGCAAGTATCTAATAAACATACGGTCTTGTCTGATGAACGTAGACTACATGATTTACAAAACATACTGAGTATGTGTGTTTTCTCCACTGTTTCTTCCAAAGCTATGACACCTCTGGCACAGTTAAAGCAGCTGGAGGAGACTTCATCTAAACAATAACTTAAAGAAATTTCTTCCATTTGGGTTTAGATATGCAAATATTCAGCTTGTGCTGGCCCCGAGAGATTTAACAAAGATTTATAAAAGAGTGCTCAAAACTGCAAACAAAGGTTGTAATATCTTCTTTTTGTTAGGTGATTCGTCAAGCTCCAAAACTTCATATATATCCCATAGTACGTCGTGCCCAACCCTGCTTAGTCGGTGTGTCAAGCTAATAGTCACCTAACAGAAACATGCACATCATGGTGATACTGATACAACCTAATGATACTGATTATCTCTACATCATGACCCCTGTTGGTGGAGGTGGGGGAATATATGGGGGAGCAAAAGAACATTTTGTCCTCAAATCTCATGTTAAAAACAGAGATGGACCGATCCGATATTATGTATCGGTATCGGTCCGATACTGACGTAAATTACTGGATCGGATATCGGAGAGAAATAAAAAATGTAATCCGATCCATTAAATATCAAAAAAGCACCTCACAAAACTTGCGACACGGCGTAACTCGGCTCATGACCGTAGCACCTCGGAGCAGTGTGGTCACGTGATAGAGCGGCTGTGTGTATTTGTAGCCTCGCTACCAAACCAGCATTTCATCTCTGAGGAAGTTATCCCAGAGAGAAGTAAAGCAAGTGTGTAAGTTCATCTCTGAATGTTTGTAAAGCATTCCCATCGACTGCCTCTTTATTCTCTCCCTCCCTCTCCTGCTGCTACTTCAGTCATGAAGCTGATCAATGATCAGCTGATCAGCTTTTCTGTCGCGACTCCCGTTTCTCTTCTTTGTTTTTGGCCCACTTTGCACTAGAAAGAGGAAACCAGCGGCTGAACAACAGCAGCACGTTTAACCTTGATAAACTGTTGTTAGAATTTATTTAATATTGCTTTCTACACCAGGATCCTTTTCTAGTAGCTGACGGCTGGTAACTGTGCAGGGGCGGATCTAGCAAAGTTTAGCCAGGGGGGCCGATAGGGCATGAACAGGGAAAAGGGGGCACAAAGACATACTTTTCTTTCTTATTCTCATTTAAAATGTCTAGTAATAAATAATTATCTGAATCTTGCACCCAAAGTTTTAATCTGATGTAAAATGTATAGAAGTCCATTACTGTATATAGTAACTGTTAAGTCTAATATACCCTAGTAAGCTATAGTACTTTTGCCTTTGGGAAGATACCATCTTGTAGTCTGTTGTCTGTAGTTCTGTTGAAGAAAGATGTTGAATCTATTTAATTATTCTTGAAAAATAATTGATTTCTGTGTATTTTTTTCACACTGCATCAAATTAAAGTTGATTACGTCGATTAAGCATCATGAGGTGGAGGGTGGTTCCCTATTTGTTTTTGCTGGGAGTTTGCAACCCTATTAGTTAGGTTGCTTAATATTTCTGCTAAGTACTCTTTAAAATACCAGAATAGGAAGGATGGAGTAGGTTTAAGTTTATTAGATTGATCAGTATGAACTATGAAATATTTTGG